CTCCTCCCCTCCATTGTCCCCCCCACCCCGCCTCGACCCCACCTTCTTCACAACCATCCAAACTTATCGCTACTATCGCCACCCGGTCGCCGCCCCCTCTCGCCTGGCCCCACCGTTTTCGTCTGTATCAGGCGCGCCGTCTCCTCACGCTGACAGTGTTGTCACCCGTATCCTGCCAGAGGTCCCTCCTGGATCCCACCAACCGCGAGCCGTCCCATCCTCTTCACCACGGCCGTTTCGCAGCTGCTCACTCTTCTCCATCGACGCAGAGTTCCTTGCTGGTGCTTGTTCCAGCCACGTGATGCGGCATTCATGCGTCCGATTTGAGTCTGCACTGCAGCAATCCGCTCTTCCGCCCTTTTGTTGGCTCCACGGGAAGGCAAATTCAACCTCAAGTATCACGGGCTCTCCTTCAACCAGACTTCGGAAGGGGCGGTCGAGACCACTAAGGCATGAACTGGGATACGTACTCGGCGTCCGGCAACGTCCAACGATTCAGGAGCTCAGGGAAACCAAAGAAGTCCTTTTGTGAGCACGAGCACCGGCTCTCCGTATATGAAGTGTGATAGATGCCACTTTCGGTACCTTGGATATTGCCTGCAGGCCTACAGCTGTCACGGCTTGTGGAGACGACCATCTCGGAGAGATTGGGCCCGCAACAATTTTTGACAGCTGCCTTGTTGTCGTGTCCTTCCGAAACGTGCTGCAGGATCCGAGATCTTCTCTCACCTAGCGCAAAGCTTATCCAGTGTAAGGAAGCTGGGCTGGGAGGGCATTTTCTCGCTGATTATTCGATAATTGTCGAATGGGAAGCTCTGAACAGGAAGTGATGCGCGTCGCGCGTATAATTATGTGCAGACGTGATGAGTTCGGCTACATGATGAATACTCTGATGACGGCTTTGGATGGCGGGTTTGCTCAAAGACGGTCAACAGTTGGAGTTACCGCGGTCGTTATTGCAAGTCCGAAACGTCTTTGATAAGCGCATCGCCGAGCTTGGGAAGCGCATGCACCTGTGCCGCGGTTGTCAGGACTAAACACGCGAAACTGCAGGGCATTGATGATGTGCGGTTCGTCGCTTTGACGGGTTGGGCGACAATCACGAACGCACCGTACGTGTGCGCTGCTGGGGGTGGAGGGGGGGAAGACCCGGTGCCGGTACTCGGTTGCCCCAAACAGGAGCATTGGCACGGTCCGGGGATCACCGCAGATTGTCCAAAGTCCGTCAACAGAGGGCTCGCCTTACATGTGTAGCCGAATGATGGAACTTTTGGGTCAGAAGTTTGCATGTCTGTACGCATGTCGTGGCTGACCCATCCCTTTGAGGGGTAATTTGGTAGTCAGCACGGCCCTTGGTCTCCAGTTTTCCCGGGACGGATTGAAGGCTCCACTTTTTTTTTTTTTTCTCGGTTGTCCAACTTTCAAGGGATGCGCCTCAGGTTCGGTGGGTAAGCACATCTCATCTCTATGCGCATCCCGAACAACGGAGAACGTGACTGGAGAGGGGCGACTGGCAAGCCGTCATTCTCCCAAAGTATGGCGCCCGCCAGTCATGCAAGCTACGGGTGGCATTACAGTGCACGGATGGTCGTTGATGGCCGTTGAATGCGGTTTATGGCTGGTGAAGGCTTTTTGATGGCTTGCTCAACTTTGTGGAAAGCGTCATCAAGCTGACGGCATGGGACTGTTCAGATGCTCACTCCATGAGAGTTGATGTTAGAGAATTCATACGATGCTCAAGTGTATATAAGTATATATTTACCTAGTACCAAGGTTTTGTGGGTAACAAGATTAAGGCATACGACACACACTCACTACTGTTCGGACCAGGCTCACGCTCAGGCACGTTGGGCTCCGAAGCGACTCGCTCACTCACATGCACGGCCCGCCAAAGTCGCCCTTTTCGTTTCGCTTTTCGGTCTGTTTGACACACCTGTCAAATCTGTGATTGCTGGCGCCCGACTTGCTGGTCGTTCTCCACGGGCATTGGCACTACTACTAGGTACTCACTGACTGACGCTGCTGGTGGCACCTGGCACCTGGCACCTGGATCACCGTCACCCGCTCGCCTGCTCGCCTGGTCGCTTGCTCGCTCTGTCCGCTGCTGGCTGACTGACTGACTGGCTTGCCCAATACCGCCCCTTCCTTCCTTTTCACCCTCTCACCTTCTCTCACCCCCCCCTCCAATCCAGTCAGCTCTTTCACAATCTCCTCCCTCATCCCATCACTCATCCCTCTTCACAAGCGTCATCCATCCTCTCCATCGCCCATCAGCTCTATCATCTATCCATCTCATCTATCTATCTATCGATCAACCATCCTCCTGCTGCCTACAGTATATATATACACATTCCCTGCTGCCCGCTAACTATAGTGGCCCTCCCGCGGCGGTATTTCCTACTACATACATACCTAGGTACAATCACTACTACCTTGACCACCACTCCCACATTCGGCTTTTCTGTCATCACGGCTACCTGGTACCCTACACACCGACGGCAACGCCCAACACCGCCCCCCTCCATCGGCCAACGGCGGCATCTCTCAGGCACATCCGACACGTTTTACACGGCATCACGATCAGATCAGTGACGTCTGCTATTAGAGTGGTGTGTGTGCCCCTAATGCATCCCCGTTCCGCCTTCCCTAGCCTTTGAGCGCCGTGTAAAGGGCCAGCGAAATCCTCCGTAAATAGTTCGCTGCCGTGCACTTTCTTCCACATCATCCGAAGCTGCCCATTCGACACTTGAGCTCCTTGTCTTTTTCAAAGTCTAATCACTTTCACCTAGCACCTCAGCCTCGGAAAATCATCACAAGCGCTCCCGACCTAGCTCCTGCATCTCCCATCAATTGCGTGGCTCTTTGATATTACAGTCTCAATTCGCATCGGACAATCCCACGTTCACGGAGAGAGCTACCTTTATTGTCTAACGTACGTTGTCCCCTCCTCTGAAGATTTTGTCTGTTCCTTCTGTAATTTTGCACCTTTTCTTGTTTCTTTACTTCTTGTATTCCCTGTGGCCTTGTTGGACTTCCTGAAACCGTGATTTCGAGCTCGTTGGAAGATCTCCAATATTGACACTTGTCGCCGAGGGAGGTTGGGCCCATGCGACAGATTGTTTCATCGCGATCCTTGCGACAAGCGTCTTGTTCCCTTGTTATTCTTTCCCCTACTGTATTCTATTGTCGGTTCAGGGATACCGGTATCCAGCCTGTTAACTGGGGGAGACCGTTGCATTTTTTTTTTTGCTTTTGTCGCCGAGAGCCCGTCTCCAGTCACTGCCGGAGAGCGTGTAACCGACTTTGACTGGCTTTCCGCATAAGGGCGCGTGAAAGATTCATATGCCAATCTAGTGGCTCACAGCGATCAGCGTTGTATTTGACAAGCTTTGCAAGACACTCACCTCATAAAGGTTATTTAACCCCAACGTTTGAGTATAACTATCACGTCGACAACAACCACCCGCACACCTCGATCTCACCCTACATATCATGTTTTCAGTATCACCACCAGGAGGATGCTCCCTCCCACCACTTCGCGAGGTTGGTAAGACCGACATGTTCCTGACGTGTACTTGTGTCTAACTGAGTCACCAGGTTATCCCAGAGTTTCACTCAGCACCCCCACTTGATCGACCTCCAATAACACCCCCAAGCCCGCAAATATCACCTCAAATACACCCGTCCGCGACCCTTTACAACCCTCGTTCTTCATCCCCCAACCGATATTCTCACCATGGCGCCGAATCATACTATCATCATGAACACCTCCCTCCAAGCGACTTTCGGCCCGGTGATCCTACCGGGCCTAGCTCACGGCTACCGTATTCACCGAACACAGTACACAATGGACTGGCTATGGACCATTACGACCAGGACCGCAACATGGGGACCAAAAGACGACGTGGAAATCTCCCTAAACCCGTAACCGATCTATTGAGAGCATGGCTACGCGACCACGTCCAACATCCTTATCCTACCGAGGAGGAAAAGCAAATGTTGATGCAGCAAACAGGGCTGACCATTCATCAAGTTCGTAAAATCCTTATTTCCGTCCCTATGACTCTTTCGCTGGCATGAGGCACGACATGGAGTGTACCCCACATCATCCCGCCGCCTCAACGGCCCGCGGTAACGCTGGGCCCCCACCCCCCGTTCTTCCGCAGCATTGTGCCCACTTTTCCGTTCCGCCATTATGGGCCCGGGCATAATCAATGCTAACTACAACTGTTAGATCAGCAACTGGTTCATCAATGCGCGGCGACGAAGATTACCTACGATGAATGGTGGTTCCGACGTTTCGAAAAGACAGTACCACACATCTCCATCGACATCATAACCATTCCACTCACCATCTTTACCGACATTACAGCATATATCTCCGTTTTCATCATCTACCTTCCAAAAGTCATCTCAAATTCAATGTTTGCGTAAGGGTCTTTGTCACACGCGACGCCTCACCGGTGCCGGGTTAACCCCGCATGAACCTTTGGATTTTATGTTTTCGATTCTCATGTAGTTTATTATTATGACGAAGAAGTAAGAGCGGGAAAGAATTGTTGATCGTTTGGAGCGCCACAATGATGTGAGGGCTTGGGGAGTTGTGGGTGGCTATTAGAACGTCTTCTCTGGGATGAAGACAATATGCGATTGGTAATGGGAAAGGGCGCTGGTTGTTCGGGACTCATACTGCTCAGGTTTCTTAGAAAGGGTTAATTGTAATGATAATGCGGAAGGTCATGGCGACCGAAAATTTGGCGGTTACTACAGCCTGGGGAGTTATCAGAACATTAATAACAAGACGTTAACGAACATTGGATTCTCGCATGGTGATGTTGCTAAAACTTTGTGCCGTTGACATTTGCACATGGAAAGAGAGTTCTGGACAAATGTAAAATCACGTGTAACAAATCCATGCCCGGTCAATTACCCTTGCAACTCAGGAAAATGAAGCACGAAACATCTGACGAGTGATGCCACCCAGACCAAAACGCAAAATGTTCCGATACCGGGAATTGAACCCGGGTCTTGTCGGTCCGCTCTCATGCCACGTTGTGGAAGGCTATTGAAAGCGACAAATGCTAGCCACTACACCATATCGGATGCTCTATGCAAAGACAGCGCTGTTAGTATACATGTAGCAGCACTGGATGTGACTGAGCCTTCCAGGCAAACCCTCATTAGCCCATATCAGCCGGCTGATCAACGAAGCCAGACACCAAGAAGAGAAGCAGTGGTTTGGGGAGAAGTGCCAAAAGTACTATCCCCAGCGGTACAAGCTCAGGAAGTCTATCAAAGTGGACCCAACAGCGGCAAAAGCTCGGAAAAAAGTCGCCCTTCATTACTACAGGTTCGCGGCAGACCGCGCAGTCACAGCGGTCTACCTAAAATCGATAGGAAAAAGAGACAGCGACGAATGCTGGTGGTGCGACGGACCCCGGCAAACCCGCGACCACCTATTCAAGGAGTGTAGAACATGGAGAAGGCAGCAAGAGGGGCTCTGGAACACGTTGAGGAAAGAAGGGTTCATGAAGACGCACGCGTTGTCGACAATCTTCGCAGAACCCAGAGCCACCCCGGCGCTCCTAAACTTCATCCAAGACACGCTTGTGGGTAGGCCAAAAACAGAGGAAGAGGACCGAGTTGAAGAAGAGCGAGTGCATGAGGAATGGGGCTGGGAGAGAGAGAATGGGGGGGCAGAGGAGGATATGAGCGTATAGCAAAGCAAGGGAAGAAGAAACCGGCGGATGTAGGAGAGCCCAATGTACACAGCAGTGTACAGCTCAAAAGGTGGCCACTGCAAAGGCAGCAAGGTCAGCGAGAAAATGGTTGAAAACGGATGAAGCAGAGTCTTGTAGAATAGAAGCAGCGTCACGCTGTGGAAAGGGGGGGTCTGTATGTTACCTCGCGCCATATCCCAAAGGGACGCATGCGCTTAAATGATTACAATCAATCAATCAATCAATCAATCAGCCTTCCAGGCGGTAGACGCGGTAGCTATCGCAATGCAGAGAATCCAACAAGGGTGGGAACAAAAACATGACAATGGCAATGCTCCTGATGGATGTAAAGGGAGCCTTCGACCACGTTGCGAAAAACCAACTTCTGGCCCGAATGACTCAACTCAGGGTGGGTGCAGGCTTAGCAAAATGGGCGTCAAGCTTCCTCGAAGACCGCCGGGTACAGATGGTCATCGACGGCCATGATAGGGAAGAACACCCTGTACGAACGGGGATACCACAGGGATCGCCAGTCTCGCCGATTCTATTCGCCATTTACTTGAGCGGAATATTCGCGGAGGTCGAAAGGAAGGGCAAGGTTACAGCAATATCATACGCGGATGACATAGCTTGGATTGACACAGACAATGATGCAGAAAAGGCTTCTAAACGCCTTGAGGAGGCAGCGCGTTGTGCAGAAGAATGGGCCTCTCAAAACGCCGTAGAATTCGATTTGGCAAAAACGGAAGCAATACTATTCTCCCGCCAAAACGATAAGAAGTTCCGAGGAGCCATGGAGGGATACCGCATCCGAATAGGAGGGGTAGAAGTCCCTTTCACCGCACAGCCACGCGATGGCTAGGTATCTGCATCGATAGCCATTTGAAACTCCGTGAACACCACAATACATGCATGAAGAAAGCAAAAGCGGCAGAAACCCGAATCCGCAGACTTACGTCTACTCAAGGACTCAGCCCGGAGAACGTGAAGAAAATACAGATCGCCGTGATTCAAGCAATTATGTTGTATGGCTCAGAGTTATGGTGGGGCATGAAGCCCAATGACTCACGAGTATACGACATACAAAAACTCATCAATAAGCAATCTCGAGCAATCACAGGGGCTCTTCGAACGACACCAATAGGGCCGTTGATATCAGTGGCGGGGCTACGGTCAGCGCAGTTCTTACTCAACCGAAGACAACGGAGATACGCATCACGGATCCTTGGGCTCCCGTCTAACCATCTAATGAGGTTCCTCATACCACCGGACATATACCGCCCAACGAAAACACACAAAACCGTGGGGAGACTTCTACGGAGCAGAATCGAGGCAGCAACCACACTAGAAGCCGGGGTCGAAATAGTTCCCGACAGAACCATAGAGCCGACCATTCCAAAAGACAGGATACACATTGCCGATACCGAGAGAGCCTCAGCCATAGCATCACAACATGCAATCCCTCTGAGAGGAACCATAATAGTCTGGACAGATGGGTCACGTAACACCGAAGGAAACATTGGGGCAGCCACAGCGCAACTGGAATTCGAAAAACAGTGGCAAACGAGACTATGGAACTTGGGGTCGACAAAAGAGGTTATCGATGCAGAACTATTCGCCATATCCGAAGCCCTACGCTACGCTCTACAGAATGCCCTGGAAAATGGAGGAGATTCGGTCAATACGCTCAAAGTCTTCACAGACTCCCAAAGCGCCTTGAGAAGAATCCAAGAAACGGAACCAGGACCAGGGTCCAACGTCGTGGAAAATATCAAAGAGCACCACCGAAATCTGAAAGAGGCAGGTATAGAGACCCACTTCCACTGGGTGCCAGGGCATCATGGTATCGGAGGAAATGAGGTTGCAGACGAAGCTGCAAAAGAAGCCTCCAGACAGAGCCAACACAAGAACGCGAGGCGCTTCGGGGCGACCTCAATTACCCGCATCGCTCGGAGACTGAGAGAGAGAACGGAGAGCGAAGAGAGAGTGTGGGCAGCCAAAACATGCGGGAAATACTACCCGCAGCGATTCAAACTCCCCCGAACTCGGAAACCTGACCGAACAGCAATGAGGACCTGTAAAAGCCTCGCGAGTAGATACTTCAGATTCGCCACAGACAAAGGCTTAACCGCGGAATACTTGAAACGAATAGGGAGAGCCACATGCGACGAATGCTGATGGTGCGGAGACCCTCGACAGAACCGGGAGCACCTCTTTAAAGAATGCAGACATTGGAGAAGACAACAGGAAAAGCTGTGGAAAGACCTAAAGCAGGCCGGCCTCACAAAAAGGCATGCACTCTCCACTATCTTCGTGGAACGGAGGGCCACAGCGGCTTTTCTGAATTACTGGAAACGACGAACGTGGGGAAGGTACAGAATGACTCCGAATTAAGAGAGAAAGAAGAGAGAAGGTGGGAGCAGCATGAAGAGGGAGGAGTTGAAACAGAAGAAAGAGGGGAGTAGGAGGCGCCGAGAGGGGGGAGCGGAGAGAGCGGAGAGCAGAGGGGAGGTGACATATGCAATAATGGAGAGAACGTGCCTAGCAGCTCGCTAGCACAACTCAAAAGACGGCCATCACCAGTGCGAAGGGTCGACGAGAAATAGGGTTGACAGTAGACGAACTTCTATGTATGCAGAAGGCCTGTAAGAAGCAGAACTAAAAAGGGGAGGGGGAGGGCGGAAGCTGTAGAGTAGGTGACGCGCCATATCCTAAAGGGACGCATGCGCTTAAAGATATCAATCAATCAATCAATCAATCGAGCCCTTCCATGGACTCGGAAGATTCTGTCTTCTTGGGACCACACCCCACCCATGATAGGAGGACCGGTGATTAGCCTTTAAGGTTACTTCCATACTCCTCCTCGCCGTCCACCTTCGACTTGTGTTCTATGGATAAGTATCTTGCAGTGTGGAGAGCGAGCACGCTTGCTTGTGTGTGTTGGTCAATGGTCGTGGTCACTGTTATACTCAAGATTGTGTGGGTTGCAGTACGGCATCGATGATACTATACACCTCGGAGGAGAAACTGCAAGATTCTCCTTCCGCTGTGTATCACACCTATAAGCATGCGACGGGACATACTCCTCAAGAATCCTCAACACCCACCGAGTGAGAAAGCCATCTTGGGACCAGTATTATATATCGCCTCTCCCGACGCAAACTCATGTATTCAACGACAGCACAAAGACGAATCACTATCTAATCCCCACTCCCCGGCCGAACGAAACAGCAAAATCGCGTGAGGTCGAACAGAGACGAGTCATGCCTCAGTATCAAGAACGAACACGAACACGAAAAAAAAAGACAAGAGACGCCTGCCTCTGATGCAACTAGAAATAGACCTATCCCTCAATCAAAGGAAAACGATCGAACTCGATACACGTTGTCGAAACAACTATAGAGCCCGCGTCCGACAAAACGTGGATTCTGTACGTGTCTGGATACATGTCAGCCTCCGCATAATACCACCACAGAGAAATGAATCACGAGCAATGAATATCATACTAGTACACTCTCGTTGTGCCAGCAGCTCCCAACCCACTCCTTCAAACTCAAAAAGAAATACACCGCACCCGGGATGTCGGATTCCATCAATAAAACCCCGGACATGGTTGCGGCTCGATAGAATTCTCGCGGATAAATATCCTCGGTGGGGATTTGTGCTAATTCCAATGTGGCCGTCTACGGTAGAAAAGGCCTTGGCTCATCCTTGATCCGTTCATAGTCAGCGCGATTCAAGCATGGAGCTTCAGCAGCTGAATCCTATACTTAACAGGCCTGTAATGGAAATGGTACTCTCGATTGACCAATGAAGCCACCCATTCCGCTTTTCACCAGTTCCTTATCCTCGCGATCGAAGTGCAAGTATCGATCTACCCCAGCATTTTCGAGAATGCTTCCGATCCTCGATACTCCTGTACCTCATCTCCCCAGACCTCATACCATCCGCACTTGGTAAACGCAATCCATCCTGCTGGAGAGACACCCGCGAACCTGGGTCCTTGAGAAACCACATTTGCAGCATAACGCGTAACGCCGTGCTCTACCCTGAGATTCAAGTTTCTGTTTGGAGGGAAACAAAGAAGTCTTCATGGTTCTTGACTCTGATCGCAATATTCCATGTGTGGTTTCCAGGTTCCACAGTAACGCAGAAGATGCGGTTGCGAGCTCGCCGGCCAGGGGATAGAGTGTTGAAGGGTTCAAGGCTAACGAGCGGCGCGGTGTTGTTTCCCTCGCCACCGTGGAGATGTAGTTCAGGTCCTGTTGGTTGGGTGGTGGTGAGCTATTAGGGCTTTCCAGAAGATAGTGCTTGGATTGGGGTAGGGTGTAGACATACGAGTACTGGTGGATTGAAAAGTAATGTGAGCAGCCCAGTCAGGGT